TAATGGAGTTTTGCCTCTGTCCTTGGAGATATTTGGATTACTTCCCAATTATCTCCAGGATAGAAGACTCTGTGGAACTGGTTTTGGGCAGAAAAGCCATGCTTCCTTTGGTCACAAAGGACTACGATCTATCTTTTGAACCACTGGACCAATTTGTATGATTTTGACGTATGTTTGTATTTGGAGTAGGCCGATTCTGAAAATGTAAGTTATATGAGAATGTGATGCATACTTTTCAAGTTATGAATAATGTGGAAAAATTGTATTTCTCTGCTTGTTATAATTACATTACCCATTGTGTAAGGTAACTGAATCACAGGCAGAGGGGAGGATTTTGTGTGGGAGTGTCTGGATGTATTGTATGTGTTTATTGGTTGTGTTCCAAAACCCTGTGGGTGGTACTAATGTGTAAGAATGTGTACATAAGCACAATAAACCCACAGCTCTGACTGTTCACCACTTGACCCTCAAAACAGAGCCTTGTCTCGTTCTTGGGGGGATTTATTGTATGCTGTTCCAGTTCGACTGCTAGGACTGTAAACCCATTCATATGGTTTCCTGTTCGGCGGATTGGTGTTCTGCAGTAGCTGTGCCTGTGTCTCTGGAAGGGGAAGATCTCCTAAACGGCAGTTTAACCCTTTTATGCTGAGGGTGCCGTTACAACAGTCTACCCAGCAATGAAGAAACCGCAAAAGAAGTACTACAAGAAGATTTTCAGGCATTTTCTTGAGCAATGCCTACATTCTGTTAAATAAATAAAAAGAGTGACAAGCCTGTTATTCATTCTGACTTAATTTGAAAAGTTGCGGAACGTATCTTTGTGAACCACCAAACCCAATCAATGGTTGTGAATAGAGCTAGATGTCGTGCTGTTGGCGTTGTCAACCCGGAACGCCTGACTGGTCGTCACTTCATGGACTACATCCCACCAACCGAGAAAAAGTCAGCACCAACAAGGAAGTGCGTGTTTTGTTATTTGAAGTGAGATGACAGTGGAAAGAAAATCAGAAAGGAAACCATGTTCCATTGTCCTGATTGTGATGTCCGACTTTGTGCAGTCCCATGTTTCAAAATTTTTCATACCCAATATGCAGTGTCTAGTATTACAGTGACTAGTAATATTGCACCATTGTTTGGGCAAATTTCAGTGTTTTTGGTTTGATTACATTATTACATTTATCATATTTTTTTATAATTTATGACTTCGTGTTTCAAACTTTATCATACCCCGGATGTCTACTAGACTCTTGTTTGGACAGATTTAAGTGAGTCATTCCTATGAATTACAAGCCTACAATATGAAACAACAAATTCCCATACAAAACAATGTACCGCTTTAACATTCAAAAATACTGACATACACAGACCGCCAGGGAGGTTAAACCTCCCTTGGAAGTTAAAGATGATCGGAAGTTCTGTACTCAGGTGACCTTGAGAGGTAAATCTGCAATTCCCTTCTTACATCCAATTTATGCCATCTAAGTTCATGTGGGGAGCTGCCATTGTTGCAAAAGCATGGTAAATGATGGGTTGATTAACAGCTTTAGAAGTTATGTTTTTGGATGAAACAACTTTGTAAATGTGAAACACAATAAAATCATCTGAAGATGACCGTGCTTGAAGCTCACAGACTCTCTTGGCAGAGGTAATGGCAACCAAGAATGATGTTTTGAGAGATAAAATCTTCAAAAGGAACCTCCTCCAATGGCTCAAATGGTGGGTCTACAGGACTACAGAAAGATCCCAGGAGGGAAAATACAATTTCCAAGGAGGTTGGAGGAGCCTTATTGCCTTAACCCCTTAAGGACACATGACATGTGTGACATGTCATGATTCCATTTTGTTCCAAAAGTTTGGTCCTTAAGGGGTTAAATAATCTTCTAATTAGAATAGGAGATGCAAGATCCTTGATAAGGAAAACAAACAAAGCAGAAAGCTGAACCTTTAACCCCTTAAGGACACATGACATGTGTGACATGTCATGATTCCTTTTTATTCTAGAAGTTTGGTCCTTAAGGAGTTAAAGTGGAGACCCCCAGGCCTGTAGAAAAACCATCCTGAAGGAAGAATGATAACAACTGATGAATGAACTTGAAGACAATGATGTTCCTTACACCAATGTAAAAACTTAAAACCCAGATCCGCAAGTATAATTTAGAGGTGGAACATCTAGTGGAACAAAGCAGCAGTTGAGCTATGTGATGATGAAGGATCAACCTTGCAACAGCCATGCCGTAGAACTTCCAGCGGTAGATCTCTGTTTTCTATAAGGCTGTTTGAGATTGGGAGTTTCCAACTTGTGGAAGCCATCTCCTTTAAGACACCAACTCCTGCTTGGCCAGAAAGGAATTATTGCTAGAACCACTGCTCTGTCTATTCTTATCTTTTGCAGAATCCTTAGGATTAGCTTCAGTGAGGGAAAAATGTAAGCTAGAGTGAACACCCATCTTATAGATAGAACATCTAACCAACAGGGATGATCCGCCTTGAACAGGGAAGCAAACATGAGAACGTTTGTGTTCGTCCTTCTTGATATAAGGTCTACTACAGGAACTTCAAACCTATGTTTGAGAATGGTAAATATCTTTGGATGCAACGACCATTCTTTCTGATCCCACTTTTCCCTGCTGAGATCATCTGCTATAACATTGTCAATAACCCTTATGTGAACAGCGAAGATGTACTTGAAGTGGTTTTGTGCCCATCTCATCTCTTCTTGATTTTTTCCACTTTGTTGAAAATAACGTGACCTATCCTGGTCTTTCTATTCCTGTACTAAAAATACCCAGGTGTACCCAGGTTTCCAGGAATATTTCCGATATGGAGTCAGGGCTTTTTTCGTTTCCAACATCTGTTTTATAATCACCTCTAAAGGAGATCTGAACAGCTTATGCTTTTTCGAAAGGAAGATCACAGAGAACTCATATAGACGCAGTATCAGCTGTCCAAGCCCTAAGCCATAAGGCTCTATATTTCTCTGTATTATTGCTTTTAGGATATAACTCAGAATTGTCAATTAATATATCAAAAGCTCAGAGGCCTGTGTCATAGCAGGGCATCATAAGGAGTGGAACCAGTAATTCTGGGGAAAAATAAACATGAATGTACCTTGGGTGCAAAGTTTCACATCTGGCGTGAGAAAAGCAGGGAGGAATTCAATTTGCACCTTTTCATGTGATTTGACAAATCGCATATTTCTTGTAGTAGCCAATCCAGTGCTGTAGCCAGTCATACCACCCCTATTAGGTAACCATTTCAGGCACCCATTATAAACATTGCTTTTATTAAAATATTGGTATAAGGCATCAGAAAATCTCACGGTCGCCAGGCATGCCACCCAGCCCTGAAATCATACACACAACATTCCACAGTTTCTAATATGGAAGTGCTAAGAGTTTTGAAATACTACTTCATCACTTGGACAGTAGAGCGGTGTGTTGAGCTGCCCATGGAATTCACATTTGTTTTAATTATCACTATGCCAATAAAAGGAGACCAAAAACAATGTTATTCAACAGTTATTGAACAACAAACTATACATTTACTCAGAAAGTGGTTAGCACAATATTTATATGAAATAATATTAATCACAGAGTATTGACGATTAAGATTTCACTTAAAATCCTTATACAGTCTGTCCAGAACATTAACAGTAATGCCATTGTGACGAAATGCCTTTTGTCCCTGGATTGTTAGGTGACAAGCTGCCCTTTGCCCCCGGCTTTTGGAGGAGCCTGATTGCCAGCCTCTTTCCTCATGACTATGGCCCTGGGGTGTATTGCCATTTAAAAAGACTATTTGGGGCTTATTGTCTTCTCAATCCAGTTTCTTCCCCTCCCCCGTTTCCTGTCTATTGTTCTCCAGCAGGGAGTTGTCCCAGGGACACTGCCAGACCAGTGGGAACTGGTTTGGGCAGGAAAAGCCATGCTTTCTTTGGGTCACAAAGGACTTCTAACTAACTTTTAAACTAATGGAAGGATTTGCATGATTTTTGGGTATGTTTGTATTTGGGATGTGCTGATTAATAATATTGGATGTATATTGGATGTATAGTTTTAGAGTTATGAAAGTTGGGTAAAAAGTGTGTTTTAAAATGTATGGATAATTGGGTTACCTCTCAGGCTAAGGGGAGGAGATGTGTGGGATGTAACCATTGTGTGATTGGTTGTATTGTGTCCCACCCAGTGGGATGTCCCCTTGCATGGGGACCTGCATAAAAGAAGGTTCTTTGTGTGCCAATAAACAGATCATCTTGTACCTTCATGAAGTTTCGGCTCATGTTTGGGGGATTGGAGAAACTACACTCTGTGGATTTCTATAATCACTATACTCCCCAGGGTATAATCACTAAGCTCTGCTAAGAGCTTGTTCCTGTTCCTGCTCTCTGGAATTCGGACAGAGGTCGACCTGCTGGAAGCTGGACCCTGGTCCTGGGTCCAGAGTGGGTGGAGACGGCGAGATCCCAACCAAGCTGCAGCGGTTCGTGGGGTCTGCAGTGATTATGGTGTCAGGCAGAGTACTTGGAGTCCTCGGAAAGCACTGGGAGCATCCGTCGGCGGAAGGTACCCGGTCGGGGTGCCAGCGGTTCCGTTACAGCCATGTTCAATAGCATTGGTACACTTTCATTGAGAATAGTGGACCTCTGTATGATATATCTATATGCCATTCTGGGACTAACCGGAAAAGAACAAGATAACAAACAAGCATCGGAAATAAAATAGGTACTGTTACTGGGTTATATAAAGAATTGCAATATGCACCTACCGTTGGAGAGGATCCTTATTAAGCAAGCGTGTGAGTAAATCTAGGAAGTCTGAAGATGGGTTGGCAGCTAATAGTCCTAAAATGTAACAAGTGCAAAATAAATGCATAAATAAAATAGATACATAATGCGACAGAGTACAGTTTCGTGGGTATACAATATTAATCTTAGAAAAGACCATTAATATTTTAATGTTATTGCAGAAATTTCACTTCCACATTAAACATCAACATTGCTAGCTCAGCCAATACTGATCAAATATGGCAGCTACACTTCCACAAAAGCAACAAGCCACACAAGTGGTCAGAACCACTCATATGGTTTGAAAGAAAATTGGGGATGACTGCAGGGACATGCTGGAACCATAACTACTACAGAAGGTTGGATCTGTTATGGTGACTGGAGTGCACATTTAAATGTCTCTTCCTGTTTTTTTTTGTACATTGCCACTCTTTTAAAACCGTACCAAAACATTTAAAACAACTTTTAATAGGAAAATCTGCTAAAATCATCCATTAAGCAGGTGGATGAGTCACACAAAACATGACTTATCATATACTAAATATTTTTGTTTCAATAGGGGTATCCCACACTTTTTATTGGATCGTACTAGAAGGAATATTACTAGCAGGTTCTTTTCGAGTTCACTCTAGGAACCCTGACATGCTTGTGGAGATTTTCTATATAGGTCAACTGTTTGGTATGCTAAGTTTACCCACTTTGTTTGGTACCTTACCAAATATTAATTTTAACTGATGAGTAGTGTTCCTGTATAATAAAAACGTTATCTTGTTTTGCATTTAAAGGGACACTATTGTCACCAGAACTACAGCTTAATGAAGAGATGCTGATTGGCCAGGGTGGCCTTTGGTTCCTCCCTGGACCCACCTCCTTGACGGAGATCATAAGAAGTGACAATCTCAGCCAATCCAATGCTTTCCATCAATTCTGATTATGTCAGCCAAGGTGGCGGGTTGAGGCCGGAGCCAGCACCGGCAGACCTGTGCAGCACTTGAAAAAAGGAGAGTTTTTACTATATTTAAGGGGGCAACGAGGTAAACAGAGTTTTTACTACTATAGTGTCAGGAATAAACATTTGTGTTCCTGACCCTATAGAGTTCCTTTAATGTACTGTTAACCTACTTTTTTGTGTAGTTGTAACCACTATAGCAATGTTACTTAATTTTTGTGGACAGGGACCCAAATCATGTAGATTACCACCTAGGTGCACTGCTACAGTAAAAAGACAAAAATGACTGTGATAAGTTTAATTTAGCCTCATGGATATGATGATCATCCAAGAGTTAAGAACCACTGATTTAGAGCATTGACTCAAATGTGTGAAGTCTCATGGGAAAACCAACAATTTGGAAAACAACCATGTTATGTTTAATGTACCTTGAGGTTGTGGAAAATCTTCATTTACAATTTGGTCAATCAGTTCAGAGAAACTTTCTGAGAAGAATGGCGGGTGACCTGTTAACACCGGTTTATGTTAGTATATTAATTTGCTAAATAAACAACAAATCAAAACTTTGAATTCACTGAAAGAAGTTACATTACGTAACAATATGACAACTAAGAAATTTAGTGTCATTTGAGATGTTAAGATTTTCAGAAATTTTCAAAATATAATTTTAAAAATTGTACCATGGATAATTTTAAATTGTATTATGTACCAATAAACAAATGTCATGCTTTTTGCTGATGGAGAATCAATGGACTCAAAGTTAGACTATCTGGGCAGTTACTTACTCAAGTGCAAACTGTATACACTGCTAAATATGAAAAGTTAAGTAACAAGATGTAAAAAAAAAAAAAAAAAAAGTCACAGCAGCATGGGGGGAGGCAGGAGAGGACCCAGGGAGCTCTAGCCAACGCTCAGATCTCGCAAGAGTGAACTCTAGCCGCTTGCGGGGCTAGAGTTCACTCACCACTGGACCACCAGGGATGGCAGCAGAATGGTCCCCCCTCCCTACATAAAGGTAAGAAGGGAGGGGGGATATTAACTAAACGTCCCCCCACCCCTACCCCACACAATACACACATCACCCTTACACACTAACAGCACAAACACACTAACAGCACCCACACACAGCACCCTTACACACAGCACCCTGACACACAGAGTGTCCTCACACACACACACATCAATGTATTATATATATATATATATATATATAGCGAGGGCTTGCACTCCTGGTGTAATCCTGTGGTGCCCAGTGCTGATGTTTTGTCCTGATGAAAGCTCCTTGTGGGAGCTGAAAAGTTGACTTTTTAAATAGATTGAATAAAAAAGTTAAATTTTATTTGAAAATCTCTATAAAGTCCTTGGAGTGCGGTCATTTCTGCTATGTGTGTGTGTGTATATATATATATATATATATATATATATATATATTTTAAACATACACACACAATACGGCGTGTGTGTTTGTGCTTTAAGGTGCACACCCTTATGCAATAGGCTGCGCACGCCTATGCCTTTCATACATAACATCAATATTTGTTACAGTAAAAATAGATTAACAAGCAGACTGTCAAGAAGAGTTATATTCAAAACCAAGTGAAAATGTGGGAAATCACTGAACAATGTTCTACAGACCAAAGAATAGGATCAGATGGATACAGTCCTGAATACCTTTCTGAGCTGATAGTCTGAGGACCATATAAAAACATTTGGTGATAAGAGCTTATAACTGTTTTCATTTTATGACGTTATGTTTGGCAAGCCTCCCTTACTGACTGCTTGCTGATGCATAAGTGATTTTTGATACATGTCTTAGCTGAACTGGCTTGCACAGGGTTAATACATATAATGTATATATATTGACTCAGACCACAATAAACAACTCTTAACAACAGTTCTTTCATACAAGCCTCATATACACATTTAAAAAGGTATACTCCAAGTCCCAAAAGCAACCTTAGCTTTATGAAGCTGTTTTGGTGTATAAATCATGCCCCTGCAGTGTCACGCCAGTAAAATTACTTTGTTTATGCAGCCCTAGTCACAACTCCCCTGGCTCCGGAGTCTTCATGAAAAGAAAAGGCAGCTTTCACTTTCAAACAGATCTTATAGCACAGTAGTTTTACTTTAGAATTTATAAACCCTAAATGGCAGAGAATTGAGCAATGAGACTGAAGGAGCATGAGCTACACACCAGAACCACTTTAGTTTGTTTTTAGGCTTTGTGTGTCCCTTTAATGCTAATCAGTGATGCATTTATATGTACGGCTGTGCAGTTTCCATAGTTATATGCATATATGTACTTCTTGAGATTCTAAGTAAAAAATCGATTATAAAAATAAATAAAAAAAACATGCATGATTGATCAGAATATTTATATCATTTTAATTCAAATTATACATGTAATAGAACTAACCTGTGAACATTTCGTATAACACACAGCCAAATGACCATAAATCACTAGCTGTGGAATAATCTGCTCCCTTTATTACTTCTGGAGCCACATAGACAGGAGAACCTGCAGGACAGCATAAAACATAACAATTTAAAATAATGTAATTTTGAAGGCTGATCTATTTTTTAGAATTTAGAAGCAAAATTTATTATGAAATGTAAGGGTTCTATTTAACACAGTTCCTTCTAAAAATGTTGTAGCTTTCATTAATCCTCGGGATTTGCAGACAGAGGATCAACTCTAAAGACATCTCAAAAATAAATTTTAAAAAATTGCAGGGCTTAAATATGCAATATGTAACTTTTTTCTTTGCATCTGCAAAGTCAAGAATTTCATACAGTGTTTCACTAAGAAAAATTACATTCATATTTTATGTAACTATAAATATGCAACGCAAAATCCAAGAGGCTTATTGCGAAACATACTCATTTGCCATATCTGTTTTACATGAGCCTTGGGGGGGGGATGGAGGGGAAATAAATAAATAATAAAAAAAAAACATTAAATAAATCAGGTACTGACTTAATTCGCCATTACCTTTAATACGGTTTCTCAAGCTTCTTCTAGGGGTAGATTCTTCAGGATCTAAGACATTCTCTTCAGATCTGATCATTGCAAGAAACTCTTCAAGATTTTCTCCTTGGGCTTTGGACAAACTGAAGTTTGTCAATTTTAAAGTGCCTGGTCCATCAAGAAGAATCTGTAAAGATAGGAAATATTAAAAATACCAATTAAAGCATCTCCTGATACAAACACTTAATTGAAAGGATCACAGGCATGAAATGCACATATCTCCATATTTCCTTAATGATGTGATATGTCCAAATTCCTTGATCCTAGAGTAAGTGAAAAATCAGGGACCACACTAGGACTTGTAAGACATTCAATTATAATCTAAGATGACAGAGCAGTAGCGCAACATTCTCCAAAAGTAAAATTAATTGATCTATTTTAGTAGTTCCTTACAATTGTCAGTGATCCTAATTATTTAAATGGCATTATCTTGGTTCCACTAACTAAAAAGAACAACAACAAAAAAAAAAAGTATGTTTCGGCCTAGAGGCTATAGTCATGTATGATACATGACTAAGCCTCTAGGCCGAAAAATGTTATTTTTTTTGTCCTTTTTGATCTCCCAAAAATATATTTGTTTGACTTCATCCTACGTTGTCAGAAAAAAAATGACTGAAAGAGTGAGGGTCAGAGCCCCACACATAAAAGCCAAACTGAACGGTCCCCTTTAAACATCAAAAAGCCAAATTTCCAGAGACTCCCCATCTCGTGATACACTCAGATCTCCACGAACTTAAACTATGAATGCATGGCGAGCAAACAGATCCAACCTGGAGGACAAATGTCTGAAATTAAGAAAAGGTGGACGAAGCATAAATCCTCCAAAACCTTTTCATTGGACACCTTCGAACCATTTCGTATAACTTCACCATATCCCACTAGCTGGTATTAGAAGTTAGTAAATATGTACATCTCTAGTGGGACTGTTCTAAGTTATTTACATTTCGGGAACACATTTGAGATGTTATGCTCATATCTGATGATGAGACACACCTTTCCTCAGTTCTACTTTTGCTCCACTATCCAGCTCTATATAAAACCTATAGGAAATACTTTCTGCACCAATACTTAATGCTACTAAAAGCCTTATACCTCATTTAGAAGGGTTAGATCTGCATAAATTTGGATTAACCATCATCGGGTCTAGTAACATCAAGTCACAAACCTTTACTGAATGTTTCAATTTTGCACCCCAATTTACTCTTGCCCTTCCTCCCCTCATCTATTGAAGTTACACCTGATTATAGTAAAAGTGATATGAAACAACCACTTTCGTAATATATTCTATTTAGTGCACTATGGTGCAACTTTCATGCTGCCCTCTTTTCTAAATAGCAGTATTTCCCTCCAAAGTGATAGCTGTCCATGTCATCAGGAAGGTTGCAGTTCAGCCAGCAGATTTCAGAAGTATAAATCTGATAAACAGTGTACAACTTCAAGAAACCTATGTTCTGCCAAAAAAGCCCTGCTGTGCAAGAATTTATGAGATACAATCAACGCCATACAAAATTGACTGATCATGTATGTATGTATGTATGTATGGATGGATGTATAGCTGTGTGCTGCTAACTGCTTGCCATGTAAAGCCTGAGAATGTATTGCAAATTCAGCACCTTCAACTTTTCTTATTTATTTTATAGTGCATTAGAAACATAATTGGTCAATTCCAGCCTAGTGCCCCTTTAATTTATTCAATAACACTATCAGTCCTTTAAGTTGTAAGCTTTTACAAGCAGGGTCCGCATAAACCTATTATCCCAGTAACATTGTCTCATTTATTGTTAAAATTCTCTACTTACAATATCGCACAGCTTTGCAGAATAAGTTGCCAATACATAAATGCCAATAATAAAAATAATAACACAAATGAGGTCAACATCAAGCTGCGTTCCTTTAAAACAATTTCCTAATTATGGTGTGAGTCAGTGCCTTAACCACAGTTTTATATATCCCATGTACACTGGTCCCCTTTATTAGACAATATTTATCCACAGCAGAGGACAGTTACTAGGCAAACCGTAAATATACACTCTGAAATGATCATAAGCGTAATAAAGTACTAATTTTACGAGCATCTTACCTTGCGAGGAGTAAGGTCACAAAATAGAATACCAAGTTCATGGATATGATGCAGTGCAGAAATTATGTCAATGCCAAAATCCCTAATCGTTTCTTCTGGTAGGTGTTCATCCTGTGTAATGACTGTTTCTAGTGTGCCACCTGCAATGAAACTGGCTACATTAAACAACCAATTATCAATTACCCCTTTAAATGAGCAAAACTGGCTTTAGACAATAGAGGTGAATACCACATATGTGGTTTATGACAATTATAAGGTTATTTAGAGCTGGAGAACAAATTCAGGAAGAAATTCACCTATAAAAACTTCTGCGAAAAGCCTGCAAGGTATACAAGCTACTTGGAAGTGCATGAGATCATGGGGATCAACTCAAACTACAATAATCCTAAACTAGAAAAGCAACAATTTCTGGGGAAATTGTGTGAAGTGTTCTTGCCTCCACCAGTAGTCTACAACTGGAGTGTGCGGAGTAACTGGGTGAAGTGGCTGGAGTAACTGTTGTGTGGTTGGAGTGGCTGGAGTAACTGTGGAAAGGTTGAACTGGGCAGAGTAACTTTATGGAGTGTGCAGAGTAACTGTATGGAGTTTTTGGAGTGAGTAAAGATAGTAAACATTACACTAACCAATTGATTGATCACATTTAAAAAGTGCACATGGCAAGCTTGATAGAGTGAGAAATGCATTTCAACTTTTATTTATTTATATAACACATTTAATTGCAACGTTGTTGCCCAAAGTGCTTCACAGTTACATTAAAACATACATTTATAGGCTAACTGAGAACCAGAGCGGACGCAACTCTCTGAACTCCGAGCCCTATTCTGCTGAAACCGTGTTAAAACAGGCTTTTTCAGCCAAAACTGACCCCATATCATACACGCAACGCAAAGGCAGACGATGGGCAGAAAAACTAAAAAGCCCCGAGCCGACAAGTGCCCGATCAGCAAAGATATTGGGGAACTGCTACGGAACTCACAGCAGACCGCATGGGCCAAGATGGCGCTCAGGGATGAGTTCTCGTGCTCATCCGACGAGGCCTCCATAGATCTCGAGGAGGGAGCCTCCTATGACCCACCGCTGAAAAGGGCAGATAAGCCCCTGCAAGCCGGGGAACCGGTGACGGCGGACCTGCTTAAAGCCATGTTTGCGGACGTGCGGAAAGACCTGGCCGCGGACAGGGCCCACTACAACACCGCCATAGAAGGCGTCAAGGCCAAAGCCACACAACTCGAAGCCACCTCCAATGTCCATGACGCCCGAATCACGATGGTGGAGCAATCACTGGCAGACCTCCAAGACAGGCAACTAGCTGCTGAAAAACGAGTAAACTCACTCGAAGACCAAAGACGAAGATACAATTTAAAAGTTAGAGGCATACCGGAGACCGTAGGCCTCAAGGACTTACCCCACTTCATCAGACGCCTGTTTGAAGCTTTGATGTTGCCCAAACAGGCCAAGGCCATAAAGCTAGACGGGATGTTCCGGCTTCCCAAGCCTGCACAGGTACCACAAGCAACACCGGCGGACCTCATCCTCCGCTTCCAAAACCTCCAGGACAAGAACACCTTCTCAGCCGCAATAAAAGGGAAAACCCCCTTAACCTTTGAAGGGGCCACGCTCCTAGTCTTTCCAGACGTGACAAAAAGTACCCAGGCCTGAAGAAAATCACTGCAGCCGCAGCTTCAACACCTCCGCACCAAAAACATCCCATACCGATGGGGCACCCCGCGAGCACTGCTATTCACCCATTGAGGGACTACCTACAAAGCACGGAGCCTACAAGAATTAGAAGCGCACCTGCGTTCTCTTAGTCTTACCACCACCCCGAATGGGGCAAGCGGGACTCTGCTCCACATCAACCCTGCAAACATTGTGGTCTTTACTCCAAGACCGACCCTGAACGCGATGCCGACCTGAACACCAACGAGAAGACCGAGCCAGGGATGGTATGCCAGCATGGATGTCCAACTGCTGTGCCGGACTGTTTGTTGCCTACCAGGCTTCTATGACAACTCTTTCTCGTTCCTCAGCATTAATGTTTTCTTAATGTTTTCTTCTTGTTTTATTTTAATGGTTTAAGTTTCCTAAATGCACTACCGTAACTGCATGGCGCTGTTTCACCAGTAACTGTCGCCAAGTCCTCACCGACTAGTTATCACACTACCTTGAAAATACTCGAGTACTAATCCGCTCATAACCCTCAGACCTAGTATCTCTCAATCGGCCCACACATACCTCCCCCCCCCCCTACCATACCTCCACAAGGGAACCACTATACGAACTTATCCACCAGCACCCAGTAGGGAGCATAGTAACCTGCAGATAAGTGACTTCTTAACAACTTCTCTTCGGTTATAGCTCAAGGTCCACACTAGGTGACTAACAAATACCCTATGGGGCAAGTAAACTACAGGGATGAAACTCATAGGGCCCCAATAGAATACTCAAATTAACACGACAAGGAGCAGACGAAGCTTAGGACCCACTGTCTCTCAAAAGAGGTTTTTCTAACAGGACATCCAAAACTAGACCCGCTTGGTTCTCTACTTACACTATAACAGTACTCCGCCCGCAATACTGACACACCTCTGGCAATCAATACCAATGCTTAAATTGATGTCTATGCATGCTGCGCAACCTAGCTATGTTTATATTTACAAAAAAAAAAAAAAAATGTGCAATGTTCCTCACCTGCTATGTGCTTGTTTTCAAATGTATACCAATTTTGGGCTCACACATGCAGTTGTAGCAGTGCAAGCCAATTTGTGATCTTTTTTGCATAACAAAATAAAGAATTTAAAAAAACAAAAAACATACATTTATAAAAACATTAGCAGTTGTACAAAAGGCCCTGTCTATGACATCACTTGCTGCTGCAGCCTGGCACAGGTCAGAGTATTTTGGCGGTTGCCATCTTCAAACGGTCGTATTTTAAAAACTATACATCCTACAGCGAAGAGCTTTATATTGTGAATCACAAGACACAGACCTAAATTTTGATGAATAGTATGTCTCTGAAATATTAAAAATGAAGGCACAGTCGCAGTTTAGAAATTGACCTTCAAGTTTAAGCTGGCTAGAGTGGGGTTTCAATGAATGTCAATGGACGGCGTGAGTTGCAAACAAATGGTCATTATTGTGAAAACTATCAGGACTATGGCTTAGTCGTGGACATTTTTAGTGGCAGCAGGGATAGCTGAACATTTTGATATAAGATTTGTGTAGGTGGGCCTGAAAATAAGGGAGTGGTGGCAGTTTAGAAATCATGTCCTGATTTTTCAGCTTTTGCCAGATCCCACTCTAGTTTTGAACATTTTGCCATTCATTCCTATGGGACCCATTTCGCCACAAGAATGACAATATTCCGTGAACCATTCGGCGAAACTTTCCACAAACTAATAGCAATCCAATCGGGAACAATCTGCACGTTTCGGTATATTACTGTCTATGTAGTGTAAAAACTGTGGGAGGAGTTAGGATGGTAAATTTGGCTATAATAGGAATACGAATAATAATAATATATATGTGAGATAACATTAAGTGGTCTTGCTATGCAAGAACACTTAATAAATAAATACTTTGGAATCTGTAACCACAGTCAAGGGCAAATCCAAAATGTCAGAACCAACAGGTTCCAAGAAGAATAGTGCAGGTGTCAAAGAATCATAGTGTGTGTGGTAAGAGATATTTAGAGACCAGATACAGGATAGGCAAGGGCAGGATGTTAAAATAATAATAATCCTAAGAAATTAAAGGTAAACATATATACTATATGTTACCAAAAATGTATATACAAGTGTAAAAAAAAAAAAACACTACTAAAATAAGGTGTCTTTCTCAACCTGTCTAAGAGGGATCAGCTTATCCCTTGATGCGGACTATGGAATGGCATAGTAGAGCAGATGAGATCTTACAATCTAGAGGTAAAACAAAATTATGATAGAAAAAAAAAAAAAAAACACCACCCTCAAAAAAGTAATCTAATTGAAAATTAATCTTGCCATCAATTACTATAAAAGTCTATTTTTTTGTATATTTACAACTTTATTCAGAAAATAACTGCACTTTCCCACACGCAACATGGTCCCCTAAATCGAAGATCTTTCTTTCTTCTCTTATGGCAGCAGAAAGAATGATGTCCTATTGAAACTGAGCAAGGTTGGCTCATAAGAAAATGGAACCAATAAAAAGTGGGCAGATATACAATTTGGTGGCAAAGTTACAGCACTCTCCCTGTATTCAGAAAAGATCCAGCAAAGAGTTGTCAGAAATAAATATCTGAGTAAAATCCATAGACTTACCAGGTTTGCCGATATATGCCATATTTGTTTGCCAAAAAATTAAACAGCTATAGTTACTATGACCCACAAAATGGGATCTCTACCTCAAATAATGGAGTTAGTAGGCAGATCAGCTGATGTACATGTGTGCAAGTAGCACTGGGATTCTTGCAAAGAAAAGTGAAGAGCCAGATCAGCATGTATTTACATTGAGCTGACCAGTACTATGCGAGATGACCAATCAAGCCAGCATGACACACTGGTAAGAAGAGATGCCAAAATAGAGTGATAGTTACACAGGTCGGAATATTTAAAGTTATTGGATAAAAAGGGTAAATCACATTTCAGTACTTGTTGTAAAGCAATAATCACTAACCATTCTAATGTATAGATGGCAAACTCATTTATTTCTGAGAGCCTGTTAGTGAGCTCTAGTGCCATTATTAGAATTTAATGGTTGTGTCAATTTCAGATACAAAAGGAAAAACTACACAAAAAAAAAACCAAAAAAAAAACCATAAGGACTCCTGTCCCTGACATTTTGATAAATATACAAACATTACTGATGAGGAAACACTTCATGTTTCTCACAAATATTTAATGTGCTAAACATAGAAAGATGGTCTCTCACCCTTTTCACATATTTTGTTCACTTTGCTACTTTAGAGCAAAACCAGGCAAAAAAACAAACAAACAAATATTGGTGAGAAAAATATCTTACTGGGAAATAACTTTCCTTGAATATAAAAACAATCATTTGTAATCTTAAAGAATCACTATAGGATCAGGAACACAAACATGTATTACTGACCCTATAGTGTTTTACCCACCATTTAGGTGGCTTGCCCTCCCTTAGCCACCCTATAAAAGTTTAAAACTCACCTTATTTCCAGCGCCTCGCGGGTCCGCAAGTGCTGGCTCCGCCCCCTTTGAATCAATGCATCTCTATGAGGAAAATTCAGCATCTCCATGCAGAACGTGGGGACGCTGAACGGCAGCCCTGAGCCAGGGAGCCACCCCCCCACAGTGGCCATCTAAGGAGTGGCCACTTGGAGGTATCCCTAGGGCAGTGATGGCGAACCTATGGTACGCCAGGCCCTCTCTGTTGGCACGCGGCCATAGGTCACCAGGAGAGGGGGCCTACTCTGCTTCCGGGTCAGAGGCGGGGGGGGCTCTAGGAAGCAGCTCTCCTATCCTCCTGCGAGCAAGCTGTGTGAAGCGTTACCATGGCAATGCTCCACACAGCATTGCGCGGGAGGATAGGAGAGCTGCTTCCTACAATACTTACCACCACCACCACCACCACCACCGGACCACCAGAGATGGCTGTGTCCCCCCTCCTTCGCCAAAGGTAAAAGGAAGGGAGGGGGGATACAGAATTAATATATATCATTACCCCTACCCCACACAGCACCCCTACCCCCACACAGCACATCACCCCTAACCCCTACCCCCACACAGCACATCACCCCTAACCCCCCCCACACACACACACAGCACCCCCACACACACAGCACTCCACACCCTTACACACAAACACATACACTGCACCCCTCAATGCAGTATGTATGTGTGTATTCAGCAGTCTGTGTGTGTGTGTGTGTGTGTGTGTATGTATTCAGCAGTCTGTGTGTGTATATATTCAGCAGTCTGTGTGTGTGTGTGTGGGTGGGTGGGTGGGTGTATTCAACAGTCTGTGTGGGTGTATTCAGCAGTCTGTGTGTGGGTGTATTCAGCAGTCTGTGTGTGGGAGTATTCAGCAGTATGTGTGTGTGTGTGTGTGTGTGTATTCAGCAGTATGTGTGTGTGTGTGTGTATTCAGCAGTATGTGTGTGTGCGTGTGTGTGTGTATTCAGCAGTATGTGTGTGTGTGTGTGTGTGTGTGTATTCAGCAGTATGTGTGTGTGTGTGTGGGTGTATTCAGCAGTCTGTGTGTGGGTGTATTCAGCAGTCTGTGTGTGGGAGTATTCAGCAGTCTGTGTGTGGATGTATTCAGCAGTCTGTGTGTGGATGTATTCAGCAGTCTGTGTGTGGGTGTATTCAGCAGTCTGTGTGTGGGTGTATTCAGCAGTCTGTGTGTGGGTGTGTGGGGGTGTATTCAGCAGTCTGTGTGTGGGGGTGTATTCAGCAGTCTGTGTCTGTGGGGGTGTATTCAGCAGTCTGTGTCTGTGTGTGTGTGTGTGTGTGTGTGTGTGTATTCAGCAGTCTGTGTGTGTGGGTGTATGCATTCAGCAGTCTGTGTGTGTGGGTGTATGCATTCGGCAGTCTGTGTGTACTCAGCAGTGTATGTATGTGTACTCAGCAGTGTATGTATTCAGCAGTGTATGCATTCAGCAGTCTGTGTGTGTGTGTGTCTGTGTGTGTGGGTGTATGCATTCAGCAGTCTGTGTGTGTGGGTGTATGCATTCAGCAGTCTGTGTGTGTGGGTGTATGCATTCAGCAGTCTGTGTGTACTCAGCAGTGTATGTATGTGTACTCAGCAGTGTATGTATTCAGCAGTCTGTGTGTGTGTGTGTATGTATTCAGCAGTGTGTGTGTGTGTGTGTGTATATGCATTCAACAGTCTGTGTGTACTCAGCAGTGTGTGTGTGTATGTATTCAGCAGTCTGTGTGTGTGTACTCAGCAGTGTATGTATTCAGCAGTCTGTGTGTGTGTGTGTGTATGTATTCAGCAGTGTGTGTGTGTGTGTATATGTATTCAGCAGTGTGTGTGTGTGTGTATATGTATTCAGCAGTGTGTGTGTATATGTATTCAGCAGTGTGTGTATGTATTCAGCAGTCTGTGTGTGTGTACTCAGCAGTGTACGTATTCAGCAGACTGTGTGTATTCAGCATTCTGTGTGTGTGTATGTATTCAGCAGTCTGTGTACTCAGCAGTCTGTGAGTGTGTGTGTACTCAGCAGTGTATGTTTTCAGCAGTGTATGTATTTAGCAGTCTGTGTGTATTCAGCAATCTGTCTGTATGTGTATTTAGCGGACGGTGTGTGTGTGTGTGTGTGTGTGTGTGTGTATGTATTTAGCGGACGGTGTGTGTGTGTGTATGTATTTAGCGGACGGTGTGTGTGTGTGTATGTATGTATATAGCGGACGATGTGTGTGTGTGTATGTATTTAGCAGACGGTGTGTGTGTGTGTGTATGTATTTACGGACCCGGTGTGTGTGTGTGTATGTATTGTGAACCCAGTGTGTGTGTGTGTATGTGTGTTGTTGTGTGTGTGTGTATGTATTTAACTGGTGTGTGTGTGTGTATGTATTATATGCTGGAAGGTGTGTGTGTATGTATGTATTTGTAGGCGGTGTGTGTGTGTGTGTGTGTGTGTATGTATGTATTTAGCAGACGGTGCGTGTGTATGTATGTATTTAGCGGACGGTGCGTGTGTATGTATGTATTTAGCGGACGGTGTGTGTGTATGTTTGTATTTAGCGGACGGTGTGTGAATGTTCAGCAGTCTGTGTGTATGTATTGTATTTGTTGGAGATACTAATAAATATAAGCTTAATTTTAATTATTTATCATAATTTAAAATGTGTATCATTGAACTCTCTGTTGTGTTCTTCTTTTAAAACAAAAGTTGTTAATTAGTTCGGACAACTGTACGAGTAGTTTTTTTCTAAACTTAAACCTCAGTATTCAGATATAATTGCCATGTTGGCACTTTGAGGAAAAAAAAGTTGGCATGTATTGTGGTTTGGGCACTCGGGCTCAAAAAGATTTGCCATCACTGCCCTAGGGGCAATGTAAACACTGCCTTTTTTCTGAAAAGGCAGCGTTTACATGAAAATGCCTGAAGTCAATGATTATACTAACCAGAACAACTACATTAAGCTGTAGTTGTTCTGGTGACTATAGTGTCCCTTTAAATACAATTTACATTGTGTTTGATAAAATGTTAAGAATAAACATACTCCTTTTTGCTTTATAATCGCTCATGCTGGGGGGGACAAAATACAAACAGACAAACCATAAACTTACCAGTACACAGTTCCACAACAAGCCACAGGTGGTTACTGGTTTCATACCACTCATAAAAAGTGACCACATTCTTGTGTTTTATGCTGTGTATTAAACGAACCTAGAAAATAAAATGAAATAAGCATTCAAGGCCATGAACAAGACAACAGTATGACTACTTATAAGAAAAGTTGTTCTGGTGGCATTTTCGTACAAAAAGGTTACTAAAGGTTACTCAAAGTACCATTTCACTGATATGAAGTGGTCACAGAGCTTGGAGTCAGTATGTGCAGCACTTACAAAGAAAATGTGTGCTACCTGAGGCAGAGTATTAATTTTGAGCATCAAAGATGTCTATAGTCATCATGCATTGTATGCCAATGGCAGAAGATTAATGGCGGCACAGACCCCCTCTGTGCCATCCAAGGAGGAAAAAGTGGTAAGGAGAACTTGGCCTCTGTGGGATCACAGGTAATGAGGTTCTAATTTTAACTTTTTTTTTTTTTTTTTTTAAATATATACATTTATGCCAACACAATGTGTAGATTTAGATATAAATATTTTTACTTTCCAAATTTACTGTTATGAACCAAAGATGCTATTGTCTTTCCAAAAACATTAAATATTATTCATTTATAAAATGAAGGAAAAGAGTCTAGGGCTACAGAGAGGTGAAGGAAGCGTACCCCTGGTCTACTGCCTAGACGGTAGACCAGGTGTAGGCATCCTTCACCTCTCCAGATGTCATGAACTACAATCTCCCACAATGCACTTACTGCCATAATCCGTGACCTACTTACCCAGTTTGTTAATTCAGGTCTTTTACTTTTGTCTATGCAAAGTATAGCAACAAAGTTGATAGTGCCTTTTCTTCTGCCCTTGTACACGACAGACTTGCTTCCTTTCCCAAACTCTTCATATAAAATATAGTTTTCCATTCTCACTTTTTGCAAGTTTTAGAATTTTGACACTAGTAGCATATGTACACCAATCACTACAAGAAAAAGGTAAGTTTTAACACATTATAACAGAATCTAGATAAAAGTATCACTATCTTTAAAGTCCTCCTCTATTTCCATTGTGTTGTGCAATATCTAAAGGTTTAACACAGAGAATGTGCATACAGGAATACCCTGTTTAACGCTACCCCGCATAGCACTGATTCGCTATAGCGCTGTTACCGTACTGGTACTCGCAGAGCGCTAAACCCAGCTATAGCACTGTTTTTTTCTGTGCACGACCTGCTTAATGCTAAAAGAGTGTTAATGTGTCGTTACAGCGTTAACAGGGGCACCATGGGAGAAAGAACCAGTGAGAGCCAGAAAGAGAGAGACAGCAAAATCCAACCTGGAAAACCCATTGGCAAGGTACAGAATACTTTCTTTGTTCCCTTGTTTTTAATAATGTGATTATTAATTATAAAAAAAAAAAAAAATGTAAAAAAAATTGTTGGGGGGGGGGGGGATAGTCACATCTAGTGATTGTTATCAGGGACCCCCAAACCCTGCAGAGAACATCTGCTGGCAAGGTACAGTACAGAATACTGTATTGTCATTGTTCCATTGTGTTGCATAATGAAAATCTACATTCATTGTATTTTTATACTGTTTTACAGATGTCTGAACGCAAAGAGGAGCAGGCTAAGGGCAAGCGCCAGAGTATTCCTCTGGATGTCAAGATCCAAGTACTGGACCGCCTGGATAAATTAGAGCGCCAGGTGGATATCGGGGCAGATCTCCATTTGCCTACCTCCACTATCCGCACTATCCTCAAAAACAAGGATAAGATCCCTACTTCGGCGACGACCAGCACTGCTACTTCAGCAAAGAAGATCACCCGCTCCAGGTCCTACGATCTTGAGGAGAGGGAGAAGAGACTTTCCATATGGATAGATGATGCGCTGGAGCGTAACATGCCTCTCAGACAGGCCATCTTGATGGAGAAGGCGAAGAGCATTTTCCCTCACATACAAAGTCAAGATCCAGATGTGATGGAGAGTTTTGCAGCAAGTGGAGGTTGGTTTGACCGCTTTAAGGTACAACCTTTACAACCTTAAGATCACTGGTGAAGCGGCAAGTGCGGACACTGGAGCTGCTGCAGCCTTTCCAGCCTCTTTAAAGGGCACCGGGCTTTAAAGCGACGAAAGACAGGCTGACCCTTCTTTTGGGTGGGAATGCCAGCGGTGACTTCTGTATAAAGCCATTGCTGGTGTACCACTCCCAGACACCGAGGGCAATGAGGGGCATTAGCAAGTCCAGCTTGCCAGTCATTTGGAAGGCAAACAGGAAGGCATGGATCACCAGAGATATTTTTACAGAGTGGTTCAATGACCATTTCTGTCCTTCCGTGCAACGTTATTGTCGGCGCAAGGGACTGGAGGAGAAAGAGCTGCTCATCATGGACAATGCGCCGAGCCACCCGACTAACTTGGCTGAGCTGCCCACCTGCATTCCTGTGGAGGTCCTGTTCCTACCGCCCAACACAACATCGCTTATCTAGACTATGGACCAGGGGGTGATTGCAACCTTCAAGGCCTACTATCTCCGCCGCACATTCCATCAGCTGATTGAACACACGGACCGCGAGGACAAGCAGTCAATGTTGGACTTCTGGAAGCAGTACCACATTATGAAGGCTGTCTCCAACATTGATCTTTCCTGGAAGGAGGTGACACAGCAGTGCCTCAAGGCTGTGTGGAAAAAGATCTGGCCAGAGCTGTGTGAGGATGTGCAACTACCAGAGCCCATCATAGCGGAGATAGCTGACCTTGTGACCACGGCTGGACTAGGAGACACAGATGCTCAGGACATTGAGCAGTTAGTCCAGGCTTCAGGTGAGAGCCTCAACAATGAGGACCTTGAAGAACTGGCTGAACAGGGCACACAGAAACCTCAGGACACCAGCGACTCGGACACTGAGCCTCCAAAAGAGCTTTCCTCTGAGCTCCTAAAGAGGGCATTGCATCAGGTCAATGACATAATGGATGAGCTGGTAGCCAATGATCCTGATGCAACTAGGAGCAGCAATGCAAGGCGCATTGTGCTGGGAGGGGTGTCTTGCTACCGCCATCTGCTGGATAGCCGCAAGAAGCATAGACAAATGACCCAATGACCAATTTGTGGCCAAAAAAACAAGGCAGGAGGAGGACCCAGGAGCCTCCACATCCACCATTTAAATTTTTTTTTTTTGGACTGTTACTTTAATTTGGTACTGTTTATTTTAATTTATTGGGTGCAAAACCGTTAGTTTATTTAGCTTTTTATTTATGCTGCTGTGTGCAGTTCACAGCAAGTAAAAAATTTTTTTTAAAAGTTTTAAATTCAATTGGTGTGTCTTTTTTTCAAAGTTGATTCCCTATGCCTATCTTAACCATGTTAAACAGCCCCGTTTAGAGCTGTTTTGCTTAGCACTCATTGCAGTTGGAACCTATCTACAGCGTTAAGCGAGGTATTCCTGTATTTGAATATGTGCACATATCTGCACAGCATGGATGTTGCAGCCAGTATACTTTGTTGCATAGGCAGAGGGGTCTATACCTGCCTGAAAGGTGCTGGTGGTCCCAAGTAATTAAGGAGAAGGGACAGAAAATACAGTGGGACAGTTTTGGATCTCAAATCAAGGAAAAGTGACACATAATAATTTCAAAACCTGCACATAATGCTTCACAAGCTAAACCCTGCAGAATTTTAATATAGTTTAAAGAATAACTGTCATATTGAATACTCTTTGTGGTTATGGTGCCAGTTGTGCTCTGCCCCCTCAATTTTAAGACGGTTTGACTTATTACCTGTGGTCGGTCAGATGGATTTCCCTGCCTCCACCAGAGAGCCAGAGCTCAGGTGAAGCTCTTGGCTAATGCGCTGTAACTTAGGAGACATAACAGAAGCTCCTGCTTAGAAACATCCGTCTCTCCAATTAAAGTAGTGCAAGCGGGGAGCAGCCCCCAGAGAACTAAGGTAAGAAGTCAAACAGCTCTAAAATGGTTTGAATATTCATGACTGTGTGCGCCAGGGCACTCCTAGTTCCATAACTACTACAGCGCGCTTGTTTACAGGGAAACTGACACTTATTCCTCTCACTGTAGCTGTAATATAACTATGAACTATGTAAAAAGTGAATTAACTCTCCTTTTTTCCAGGGCAGCACGGATCTGCCGGTGCTGGTTCTGCTCCCAATCCGCCTCCTTAGCCGAGATCATCAAAATAGACGATCTTAATCAATCCAACGCTTTAAAATAGGAAAACATTGGGAGACTATCGTGCATGCACAGCAAAACACTCCGCTGGCCTATCAGTATCTCCTCAGAGAGAGAGCCACTGGAGGTGTCCCTAGGCAGTAATGTAAAAATACCCTTTCCTATGAAAAGGCAGTGTTTACATTAAAATGCCTAAAGGGGCATGCTAGAGACATCGTAACAACTACACTAAGTTGTAGTCAGTCATTCTGGTCCCTACAGTGTCCCTTTAAAGGGACACTATAGTTACCCAGATCACTTCAGCTCAATGAAGTGGTCTGGGTGCCAGGTCCCGCAGGTTTTAACCCTTCAGAGAAACTGCTATGTTTACATTGCAGGGTTAATCCAACCTCTAGTGGCTGTCTTCCTGACAGCAGCTAGAGGCGCTTCTGCAAAATGCATTGAGAAATGCTTTCCTATGGACTGTTTGAATGCGCGCGCGACACTTGCCGCGCATGCGAATTCCGCTCCACTCGGGTGCTGACATCGGAGGGGGAGGAGAGGTCACCAGTGCTGGATAAAGGTAAGTGGCTGAAGGGGTTTTAACCCCTTCAGCACCGAGGGAGGGGGATCCTGAGGGTGGGGGTCCTAATGATGCTACAGTGTCACCAAACCACTAAAAACTCACCAACCAAAGCAAATAAAATCAAATCCAGTTGTGCCACCGCTGATAAGGAGACTTTTTGGTAGTTAAGATTTTTTTTGCTTGAAGGGATTCTATAGTGCCAGGATAACAAAGCCGTTTTCCTGGCACTATAAAATCCAACAGTGCTCCCCTCCCTCATGTCCAGGGCTGGTGCAAAGATTTTTGCCGCCCTAGAAAATTTTTATTATCCCGCCCACTTGTCCACACATACAGGGCAAGGGGCAAGCGAATGAGGCGCCCTTGCACTGCCGCGGTGCTTGTCTGGGGAGCATGAGGATATCCAGTGTCAGATAACGGACCAAAGGTCCATTTCAATTCAGGAAGTCCATCTAGTGGCTGTCTGGTAGACAGACACTAGAGGAGGAGTTAACCCTACCTGGTAATTATTGCAGTTTATAAAAACTGCAATAATTACCACTCTAGGGTTATAAGGACACTCGAGGCACCCAGACCACTTCTGCCCATTGGAGTGGTCTGGGTGCCAACTCCTACCCTTAACCCTGCAAGTGTAATTATTGGAGTTTTCATAAACTGCAATATTTACCTTGCAGGGTTAACTCCTCCTCTAGTGACTGTCTACTAGTGGTCTGGGTGATAGGAGTTTGCACCCAGACCACTTCAATGAGCTGAAGTAGTCTGGGTGCCTACAGTGTCCATTTAAAGTTTTCTATTTTAATTTCTATTCAATTTTATTTGTAGTTTAGTGAGCAACCCTGACAGAGAACTTTAAACTTCAGGCAACAAAAGTTTAAAAAAAAATCTCCCAAGTCAGATGTTTCTGTTTTGCTATTTTGAGCTAAAATTTTTAAATTTGCTGATAATTCCTAACTAATACGCTATGGAATAACCATGCCAGTCCGGATCGTCCACTAAACTCTGAGTTTTAGTCCAGAATACCCAAACTGGACAATGTTTCCAGCCCGGCTTTATGTCATCCTATAGTCTGAGTTTCACTGTGATTCACATTCCCAGCAATTCTCACTGTAATGAGGGTCTGGCATGGCTGGCCAGCTCCTGTCACAGAGCGTGTTCACAGGAATACACGAGCTGGCTGCTGGGAGTATAATTCACAAGTATTAATAAGATTATTATTATTTTATATAGCACCAACATGTTCTGCAGTGCTGTACAATATTTACAGACATTATATAAAAGATAACACTAACATACACTGAGTGCCCTGCCATTGCAGGTTATTTATAAACAGTAAATATATATTATAATGAGCAGTATTATGCCCAGGCTGCCACTGATTACTAACCTGTGTGAGAGTCCGGAGAGCTAGCTCACTGAGACAGTGACTGACAGGCAGAGTGCTGAAAGCCTCACAACGTGCTGCCTGCGTGACGTCACACCACGTCACATACACCGACCCACCTGAACTACGCCTGTAACAGAATACAAACCGCTCGCCGACCAACTGCCAGGCAGCCGGACTGTCCCATGCGTGGGAGAAGGGGTGCACGTATGGGCCATCAGGTGATTTCAACGTGTTTATTTTTTAACGAAGTGACACGTTAGTGGTTAGAATCACTACATACTTTCACAGCCAGCACTGGCGGAACATCACAAAAAAACTAAAGGAAAAGAGATGTCAATGTCTGGTTGTGACTAGCACACCCTTTACTGCGCTTATCTTTGGATTGTTCCGTTGCTATGGTAACGAGGCGGGATAAAGGACGCTTTACGGAATGTTCGGGTAGACTAGTAACAGGAAGCTGGGATACTGGCTGCTGCGGTACAGGGAGGTCACGTGACTGGCATCCAATGGCATAGCAGGAGGATGGCAGATTAGCTAGAGACAGACTATACAACATCTCTGCAGACTGATTCAGAACTTTAGGTACTACAGTGCTTAGTGCTTATCTATTATCCATTGAGAGGTTTTATACACAGTCTCATAACTTAACATGCAGGGTTGTCAAAGTGAGTTTCAAATTAGATTACATTTTCAACAGATTAGTTTCCCAACACATTGGACCACCAGAGGTCAGCATGCACCCTCCCTGCAAGGCAGGAACAGGGAAGGGGGAATGTTGTGTTTGTGGGGTTTTTAAAATTATGATTATTTAATAAAGCTCCTATACAAAAACTATACTCCTCTACAGTGCTCCTCAAGGCACACACAACATTCCAGGATTTAGGGATTACCTGATTGTGTCTAGGACAGTGTTAAAAAAAACCTCTAAGATGTTTTTTTTTTTTTTAAACACCTTTAACTATGGTAAAGTATTGTGATTGGCTGAGATCATACATTTTGATTGTCAGCCAAGGAGGTGGGTTGAGGGTGGGGCCAGATGCAAGGAGGTAGGGGGTACTGACCACTTAAACAGTGGTTTAAAATTATAGTGTCTGGAATACACGTGTTCCTGACACTATAGTGCCCCTTTAAATTTGAAATTCACTTGAACAACACTGAATTCCTGACACTACTCGCTTTAGCTATTTATCCAGTTAAAGTTTGCTATAGGTTTTTATTTTTATATATATATATATATATATATATATATTCTCACTAGTTTATGTATATGTTTTAATTTACGTGATCTGTTGAGATATGGCTTTGTAGGTCCTTCTGGAATCTGGATCTCCACCTAGAGTAATAATAAGACACAGACACAACTAACTGTAAGGTCAAACCCTGTTCTAATTTAAAGTGAAATTATAGTGCTAGGATTTCAAAGTTGTATTCATAGCACTACAATATCCTATAGTGCCTGCCTCCCTCCCTCACGCCACCCCCTGCGCAGGGCATAAAGGCTGACCAGCAGGTCCGCCATCAGGGCATGACAACCATAACGGTTGTCATGGGCCCGGCGGTCATGGGGGGCACAAACTGCTCATGTCCTCCCGGGCCCCACATTAGCTATGTGTACACATATATAGCGATTAACGCTATATATGTGTGCACTGCGGGCAGGGGTTGGCGTGAGGGAGGCAGGCACTATAGGATATTGTAGTGCTATGAATACAACTTTGAATACAAGACTTTTGCAGAGTAACTGGGCAGTATAAGTGTGCTGGGCCCCCTGCAGAATACAGGTAGCGGGGGGCTGCACTATTCCTCAGGACCTCTGGCTCCAGGGCTCCAGCCAATCTGACTTCCCCCTCTCCATGGCCACAGGTGAGATACAGGGAGGGGGGAATAAAACAATACTATTAATGGATGGGGAAAAAAAAAACTGTAGGCTTTTCCTCCCACATTTTGCAGCTCCATCCATTTACACACACTATTCACTAACATTTACACACACTATACACTAACATTTATACACACACTATTCACTAACATTTATACACACTATTCACTAACATATACACATACTATTCACCAAAATGTACACACACTACATCCTTACACAAACATACACTCTGGAGTCACTACACAAACACACACTCTGCAGTCACTACACACACTACATCCTTACACAAACACACACTATGCAGTCACTACACATACTTCTTCCTAACACAAACACACACTCTGCAGTACTTACACACACACACTTTGCAGTCACTACACACAATACATCCAATACACAAACACACAGTCTGCAGTCACTATACACACATTAAATACTTACACAAACACACTATGTAGTCACTATACACACACTACATCGACTACACAAAGACACACTCTGCATCCACACACTGTATTCACTAAACACTACATCCACTACACACACACACTACAGCCACTACACAAACACACACTCTGCATTCACTATACACATCGCATTTAATACACACAAACACTACATCCACTACACAAACACACATACACACTCTGCATTCACTAAAAACACACACTACATCCACTACACAAACACACACTCTGCATCTAATATACACCTCATACATTACACAAATGTACAAACTGCATCCATTAATCACACACCACATCCACTTAACACACAAACTCTGCATCCACTACACACATTCTACATCCACTATACACACACCAGAATCAGTACAGACACTGCATCCCTGTTGGCGGACTCGGGGAGGGGGTTGGGGGAGGCAGCACTTTGGGCGGACTCGGGTGCCGGCACCGGGGGTTCCAGACCTTGAGCTGTGTCAGGGGCCCCAAAATTTCTGATGGCAGCCCTGCTGACCAGTCGCAAATCTTGTAAGCTCCGCCCAGAAAATATTTAATATAGGCATAAATACCGACTGTACTTTGTAAATCAGCCAGCAAACATACCCCCGAGATGGGAAGTAATCGCTGCAATTGAACCTGCTATCTTTCTGGGTGGCTCATGCAGGAAATGGACCTATTCACAGCAACCACGAGGGAGGCGGCAGATCCCTATGTTTCTTGCTACACACCACTTCAGAGGTCTTTAGGTGCAGATATCACTAGCCATCACGATACGTTTAACCCTAAGAAATTTACTTTGTGGGAGGGCAAAAAAGTAGTTGAGAGGGATGAGCAGTCTCAAAAGGTGAAAGTGTGTTTTTGTCTGTTGGTTTAGCAAACAAATCTGTCACAAGAATCAAACCCTTTTTGTATACAGTTGTTTCCAAAATAATTTTGCTGAATTGATCATAAACCAGGGCTCGACAAATCCCAGGTCGCCATGGCAACCAGGAAATTTGTCCTGGCATCTGGGATTTGTGAGCCTGTTCGGCCCCTGAGGTGGCCAGCTGCACGAGATTGGAGGCCGGCAAATGGCTCATGCAGGGCTGAGAGCTATGGAAGGCAGGACAGAGGGGGCTAAACGAGGGAGGCGCGAGGCGGGCGGCAGCTAAACAAGGGAGCTGTTACCGCTCTGCTCCTTTGCGCGCCCTCTAGTGATACTGGGAGACAGAATATGACGTCATTCCAGCCCAGCATTACTAAACAGCACTCTAAGGAGCAGAGCTGAGAGATGACCGCAGCCCCACTGGACACCAGGGAATGCTAATCCACTCCAGCTTTCCCAAAGGTAGGAAGGCTGGATGGATATAAAATAATAAAATTAATTATTTGAGAGTGTAAAATCAATATACAGGGAGTGCAGAATTATTAGGCAAATGAGTATTTTGACCACATCATCCTCTTTATGCATGTTGTCTTACTCCAAGCTGTATAGGCTCGAAAGCCTACTACCAATTAAGCATATTAGGTGATGTGCATCTCTGTAATGAGAAGGGGTGTGGTCTAATGACATCAACACCCTATATCAGGTGTGCATAATTATTAGGCAACTTCCTTTCCTTTGGCAAAATGGGTCAAAAGAAGGACTTGACAGGCTCAGAAAAGTCAAAAATAGTGAGATATCTTGCAGAGGGATGCAGCACTCTTAAAATTGCAAAGCTTCTGAAGCGTGATCATCGAACAATCAAGCGTTTCATTCAAAATAGTCAACAGGGTCGCAAGAAGCGTGTGGAAAAACCAAGGCGCAAAATAACTGCCCATGAACTGAGAAAAGTCAAGCGTGCAGCTGCCACGATGCCACTTGCCACCAGTTTGCCATATTTCAGAGCTGCAACATCACTGGAGTGCCCAAAAGCACAAGGTGTGCAATACTCAGAGACATGGCCAAGGTAAGAAAGGCTGAAAGACGACCACCACTGAACAAGACACACAAGCTGAAACGTCAAGACTGGGCCAAGAAATATCTCAAGACTGATTTTTCTAAGGTTTTATGGACTGATGAAATGAGAGTGAGTCTTGATGGGCCAGATGGATGGGCCCGTGGCTGGATTGGTAAAGGGCAGAGAGCTCCAGTCCGACTCAGACGCCAGCAAGGTGGAGGTGGAGTACTGGTTTGGGCTGGTATCATCAAAGATGAGCTTGTGGGGCCTTTTCGGGTTGAGGATGGAGTCAAGCTCAACTCCCAGTCCTACTGCCAGTTCCTGGAAGACACCTTCTTCAAGCAGTGGTACAGGAAGAAGTCTGCATCCTTCAAGAAAAACATGATTTTCATGCAGGACAATGCTCCATCACACGCGTCCAAGTACTCCACAGCGTGGCTGGCAAGAAAGGGTATAAAAGAAGAAAATCTAATGACATGGCCTCCTTGTTCACCTGATCTGAACCCCATTGAGAACCTGTGGTCCATCATCAAATGTGAGATTTACAAGGAGGGAAAACAGTACACCTCTCTGAACAGTGTCTGGGAGGCTGTGGTTGCTGCTGCACGCAATGTTGATGGTGAACAGATCAAAACACTGACAGAATCCATGGATGGCAGGCTTTTGAGTGTCCTTGCAAAGAAAGGTGGCTATATTGGTCACTGATTTGTTTTTGTTTTGTTTTTGAATGTCAGAAATGTATATTTGTGAATGTTGAGATGTTATATTGGTTTCACTGGTAATAATAAATAATTGAAATGGGTATATATTTGTTTTTTGTTAAGTTGCCTAATAATTATGCAC